TAAATCTCGGTAAAACAGGCTGATCCTTTTGAATTCCGGTCAAACACTCCTGCTTTCTCATTATCAATGACAAAATCCATTCCTTTTGCCAGGCAAGGGTATTTTGCTTCGCCCTTGGGTTCGCTCCAGGGAGTTTTAGTGGTATTCATCTATTAACTTGCCACCTCTGGGAGCCTTCCAGATAGCTATGATTTCTCGTTACTTACAAATTTAATAGAGCTTCACTTAAAAAGTATAATTATTTATGGGGAATTTGTGAGAATTATATCACACAAACTATGATTATAGTTATAATTTGAAGTCCAAAGGACTAAATTTGTCAAGGCATTTGTGTCTTTTCAACTCGGGATTGTATTACCCAATTGATGCACAATTAACTTGAAATCAGATAAAGATATATATGGGAGCTATATCCAAATCTAAACCGATGACATTTGGCAAAGGTATTTCTGAGCTGAATTTGATATTTTTCCCTGAATATCGTTGTAACGGAGTGCATATTACGGCTGTGGAGAATAAATATAATAAATCGGATGAACAATATATATGGGAGCTACAGGTATTTTTGAACCGATTTCCACCAAATTTGACATATTAGTTTCTAGACTCATTTTGGTCGTAAGTGCAAAATTCCCAATAAAAGACATTGCGGACGAAATATATGTGGGAGCTATATCCAAATTTGAAACGATCTCGATAAAATTTAGCAAACGTATTTCTGAGCTGTATTTGATATAATTCCCCAAATATCGTTGTTACAACGGGCATATTGCTGCTGCGGAGGACAAAAATAACAAATCGGGTGAACAATATTTATGGGAGCTATGGTCGTATTTGCAAAATTCCACACTTTTTGGTCTGATATTACACGTTTGGCGCACAAAAAAAGCAAATCAGACGAAGGTATATATGGGAGTTACATCTAAATTTTTACCGATTATCTACAATTTCAATAGGGTTCGTCCTTGGATCAACCAAATGACTTGTCCAAAATTTCATCTTGATCGGACAATAAATGCGACCTGTTCTTTGTTTACAAAAGTACATGGACGGACGGATATGCATAAATCGACTCAGAACGTGATTTTATGCAGATCATCAAAAGAAACTATGGGTACAAAAGTACATGGACGGACGGATATGCATAAATCGACTCAGAACGTGATTTTATGCAGATCATCAAAAGAAACTATGGGTCTATCTCGATTCCTTTTGCCTTTTACAAACAAAGACATAATATCCCGACCACCTTGTGGTGTAGGGTATAAAAATACAAAATTTCAATTTAGGAATGGTCACCGGGTAAATGTCCAACACTATGGCGTAGGGTAAAAACATGACACTTTGTCGTCATCCATCGGGGAAAAAACCCCAATACAAATGAAGGTTATAACAAAAAATACTAATGACGTAGTATTCCATTCCTAATAATGTGACGGCCAATCGAGAAACCACATCCCACACAAAACATAAGTCTTTCAATAACAAACTACTTTATTAACATTTCAAACCTGATGCGGCCGGCGTATGGTGGTGGTGCATGTTCGATCCACAGCGGAGAGGCGTAGCATGTAAAACCGTAACAAATTTTGTCGCATTTATATATTTTTTCTTCTTTTTTTTCAAATCAATGAATGAAAATGAATGAATGCATTGTGGCTAATAAAAAGAATGAATGAAATAGAGTAAGTGGCTGAAAACACAAACAACACATTTATGTCAACTGTATTGAGAAAGAAAAACGTTTACATAAAATCCGGAATATGCTTTAAAGTGGGGTGATGTTATACAGATATTTCAAGAACCGGTATTTTTATACCCTCCACCAAAAAAAGTATGGAGGGTATATTAAGTTCGTCATTCCGTTTGTAACTCATCGAAATAATCATTTTAGACCCAACAAAGTATTCTTGATCAGCGTAAAATTCTAAGACGATTTAGCCCTGTCCGTCCGTCTGTTGTAATCACGCTACAGTCTAAACGAATTAAGATAGGAAGCTAAAATTTTGCACAGATCTCTCTTTTGTCTGCAGGCAGGTCAAGTTCGAAGATGGGGTATATCGGTCCACGATATCGTATAGCCCCCATATAACGGTACCCCCTATAATTGGTATTTTGATGATTTTAGCCACATTTTTCAATGTAATTGTCTGAAATTCCACAAAAGGAGTCCCTTGTGGACATTTTAACTCCTCAAAAAGAATTGCCTATATAGGTCCACGATGTCGTATATCCCCCATATAACTGTACCCCCGATATTCGGTATTTTGATGATGTTAGCCACACTTTTCAATGGAATTGTCTTAAAATCCACACAAGTAGTTCCTTGTGAGTACTTTACCCCCCCCCCCCCGAGAGAGAATTGTCTATACAGGTCCACGATATCGTATATCCCCCATATAACGGTACCCCCCGATATTCGGTATTTTGATGATTTTACCCACATTTTTCAACGGAATTGTCGGAGTTCCTTGTGGGTACTTTATACCTCGACAGAGAATTATCTATATAGGTCCACGATATCGTATAGCCCTTATATAACGGTACCCCCGATATTCGGTATTTTGATGTTTTTAGCCAAATTTTCAACGGAATGGTCACAAGGGGTTCTTTGTACACAAGGGGTTCTTTGTGAGCACTTTACCCCCTGACAGAGAATTCTCTATATAGGTTAACGATAACGTATAGCCTCCATATAACGATACCCCGCGATATTCTGTATTTTGATGATTTTAGCCACATTTACCAATCGTATTGTCTGAAAATCCACACATGGAGTTCTTTGTAAGCACTTTACCCCTGAAACGGAATTGTCTATATAGGTTCACAATATCGTATATCCCCCATATAACGGTATTTTGGTATTTTGATGATTTTAGCCACTTTTTCCAATGGAATTATCTGAAAATCCACACTAGGAGTTCCTTGTGAGTACTTTACACGCAGACATAGATTTGTCTTTATAGGTCCACAATATCGTATATCCCCCCATATCGGCACCTTCCTGTATTAGATATTTTTAAGATTTTAAAAGAACTTTTAATGGATTTTATTTTATTTTATTTTTTTTTTTTGAAAATTTTCTAATTCGATCCAAATGGTGGAGGGTTTTCAAAGTTCGGCACGGCCGAACTTACTGCTTTTTATACCCTACACCACATAGTGGTAAGGGTATTATGTCTTTGTGCATTTGTTTGTAACATGGAGAAGGAAACGAGTTAGACCCATAGTTACTTTTGAGAACCTTCATAGAATCACTTTCTGAGTCGATTTATGCATGTCCGTCCGTCTGTCCGTCCGTCCGTCCGTCCGTCCGTCCGTCCGTCCGTCCGTCCGTCCGTCCGTCCGTCTGTCCATGTATTCTTGTGAACAAAATGCAGGTCGCATTTATTATCCGATTGAGATGAAATTTTCCAAACAATATTTTTTTGGCCCAAGGACGAACCCTATTGAAATTGGTGAGAATCGGATCAAATTTAGATATAGCTCCCATATATATCTTCATCCGATTTCGGGTTAAATGTGCACCAAATGTCCACTATCAGTCCAAATTACCTGAATTTTGGCACACCCAACCGAGTTCGGCCTAGAAGCAAGTATATCAAATTTGGAGAAAATCGGTTCAGATATAGCTATAGCTCCCATATATATCTTTCATCCGATTTGATCTTTAAGTCCCTAACATTCCTACTATGCACTCCACAACCGTGATATTTGGTACCAGGTATTAGATGGAGCACAGAAATAACTGTTTTAAATTTTATCGAAATCGGTTCAGATTTGGATATAGCTCCCATATATATCTTCATCCGATTTCGGGTTAATTGACCACCAAATGGCCAATATCAGCCCAAATGGCCCGAATTTTGGCACATGTAACCGAGATTAGCCTTAAAGCAAATACAACAAATTTGGAGAAAATCGGTTCAGGAACAGCTATAGCTCCCATATATATGTTTTATCCGATTTGGTGTTTAAGCCTCTCACATTCGTAATATGCACTCCACAAGAATGATATTTGGTACCAGATATAAGATACAGCCCAGAAATAGCTGTTTGTAATTTTATCGAAATCGGTTCAGATTTGGATATAGCTCCCATATAAATCTTCATCCGATTTCGGGTTAATTGGGCACCAAATGGCCGATATAAGTCCAAATGGACTGAATTTTAGTACATCGGACCAAATTCAGCCTAAAAGCAAGTATATCAAATTTAGTGAAAATCGGTTCAGATATAGATATAGCAACCATATATATGTTTCATCCGATTTAGTGTTTTAGTCCCATACATTCGTAATATTCACTCCACAACCGTGATATTTGGTACCAGGTATTAGATGGAGCACAGGAATAGCTGTTTTAAATTTTATCGAAATCGGTTCAGATTTGAATATAGCTCCCATATATATCTTCATCCGATTTAGGGTTAAATGTGCACTAAATGGTCAATATCAGCCCAAATCACCTGAATTTTCGTACATAAGACCGAATTCAGTCTAGAAGCTAATACGTAAAATTTGGAGAACCCCGGTTCAGAGATAGCTATAGAATTTGATAGAATTATATAGATTTTGATTTTGTACCAAATATCTCATAGAGCTCTGAAATGCACTGTATAAACCTTTTTACGAGAGCTCTACTAAATATGCATAGTGGTGTAGGGTATCATATAGTCGGCCCCGCCCGACTTTTGAGCTTTCCTTACTGGTTTTACTTGTTTTTATTAAATTACCCTACAAATTTATGCATATTAGATTTTTATCAATATGATATTATGTGTTATAGTCAGGTGATAAATGTGCCACCCACGTGCCAAAAATATTGTAACGTCATTATAACAGTGTATAAATTTAACATTTGGAGACAAAAAGGTCGCTGTCGGCTTAACTTATTCTTCTTTAGGTTAAAAAATCAAATAATTTTCATTTAGATTATATAAAATTGTATATAATTCATTACGTCAAAATTTAAATCTCAATTTTTTTATCTTTATTCCAGATATGCTAGCCTTTGCCAACTAAAAACAAACAACGGAAACAAATATCGATAATAAACCATATTTTTGATACTTTTTATTTGGGGGCGGAGGTGAGTACTGACAGATAAGTAAAATAATTAGTTTTTATTAATGATCAGAGTTGATAATAACCGAACAAAAGTGAAAAAAAAGTTCATTGCTCTTATTACCGCATTGGACGCAGTTAACACTTTGGCTAAACAAAAAAAAACACACACACACACACAATGTTATTTGTGTGTCAGCCGGTGTGAATGGCCAACTATTGGCCAGAGTGACCTTAACATTGAATTGTTCCAAAAAACAAATATTGTATCCGAATACAAAAGATCGGTAAATAATTCCACTGTACCTACTGTGTACCACCGAAAATATTGTTAGCGTTATTATATTTGGTCATAAGATATTGAGTAATAATTTGGTACTAAAAAAAGATAGAAGAAGTATGAACACAGTAACTGCGGGGTATGAACATTTTATTTTAGCACCTGCTTAGTGATTGGAAAAAGTTCAGGATGAGTAAGATTAGAGCGAAATGGAGATCCCATGCTTGTTATATGAGATTTGCGAAATTAGAGTAAGTTTTTTTATTTCCAACCTGACCTTAATAACATAATGAATATTATTAGTAGTTGAAAGAAATAAAATGTTTACTTTCTTTGCCTTATTCAGGAACTTTATTTTTATTTATTTATTTATTTTTTCTTTTTTTTTAATTTCGGACAACTGTTATTTTAACATTTCCAATTTTTACAACTATAAAAACATTGATTGATAAAAACATTGAGATGTGCAAGGGGTGAAGAAAATCAGGGTCATTTTAAGGTATTAATAGAGTTATGTCTATGAAAATGAAGTCATGTTTATGAAAATTTTAACCACTTTTTTGTGTAAGTTCTACATCTGATAGAGTGATATCTTCTATTTTCATTTTTCACCATAGTTTGATAAAAATAGTATGATTCAAAAAGTTTGGATAGGTCGAGAACTATGTTTGTTGTATTGTGATATATGACTTCCCAAAATTTTGACCAACTTAGGGTTAGGTTGGATTGAGGAAAATTGGACCGATATAACTTATCATAACACCAGATTAAAATTTTGCTAAAATGTTGACATCTTTTTATCCTGATGAAAATCAAGCACTAATTGAATGTTAAGAATGTTATTACTCAAATTGTAGGCTATTTGTGGGGGATTTACGTGGATTGGGGTTAAATTTGTAATTTACAATTTAAGTTTATGCTTTACTTCTATTACGAAAAGGAGATTCAAATAGTTTTATTAACAACTTACGTTTCATTTGCTGAGGGTATTGGTCCAGAAACGTATTTATTTATATAAGAAGTACACGAATTTGTCCCTTGCTCCATATTATTACTTGGCCACGAACACTGACATGCACTTAGTCTTATAGTTTCATAGAGATACGGAAAAAATGTTCGTCTTAAAATAACGATTTGAGAATCTACAGGGTGAGATGAGAAAACTGCAACCAATTTCAGACTGCTGTGATTTCTAAGCCACTCATCTGACAGCTATTAAAATTATTGCAGTGACAGCTCATTATATTGTTTACAAGCGTACAAAAGCATTTTGATGAGAATTTTCCAGAATTTTTGGTGATGGAATTCAAGCGTGATAGTGTGATTTCTTTATATTTGGCTGGAAAACCACAAGTGGCTATCATTAAAGCACTCCAGCATTTAAATTTGAGTAAATCTTTTGTGTCTCGTACCATCGCCCGTTACCGTGATACTGGTAGCGTAGCCCGACGTCAAGGAAGTGTACGGAAGAAAACAGCAACATCAGCAGAAATGGTTCGAAAAGTAAAGAAACGACTTGGCCGAAATCCGCGTCGCAGTGGCCGAAAAATGGCTCGTGAGCTGAACATATCGAAATATTTCATTCGCCAAATATTGAAAAATGAGCTCGGTGTAGTCAATGAAATTCCAAAAAGTGCAAGAACTTACACCGCAACAGGAAGAAAATAGACTCAAAAGATCCAAAAAGTTGCTTCGCTTGGCCGAAAGTGGTGAACTGCCGAATTTGGTTTTCTCCGATGAGAAAACATTCGTTGTCCAGCAGTTTGTAAACAAAGAAAATGATCGCGTTTACTTACCAAAGAGGTCAGCTGAAAATATGCACATTCGGTTGGCCACCAGAACTCAAGCGCTGGCCATGGTGATGGTGTGGGCTGCCATAACAGCCGATGGTCGCTCTCCGCTCGTATTAATCGGCACAGTCAATAAATAAATGCCGAATATGATCGCAAAAATATTCTGGAGGGTGTATTAAAGCCTTGGCACGCAAACATTTCTGCCAAAATACCGCAGAGCAACATTCGGGCAGCGTGTGACGGTTTCATTAGCCACTTGAAGGCCATAGTTCATGGCGAAGGTGCCAAATTCGAACAAATCTAAACTTATTCTAAAATTTGATGCTATTTCCGACACTTTTTGCTTTCATTCAAAAAGAAAAAAAATGTTAAAATTATGGCGTTTTACTTTGTTGCAGTTTTTTATCTCACCCTGTATGTACTTTCTGGGATCTCCGATGAATATTTAGAGACGTTATAAACGCAGCTACATTCGACTGGAGGGGACGTTCTATAACCCCGCCAATTTGGAAAATAAAACTTTTGAAAATATGCCAACAAGTGACAAAAACCTGTATTCAAACGATAGAATTTTAAAATCAGTTAATAAAAAATCAGTTAAAAGGTATGGGGCTTTACGAGAACTTGGATCAATATAGACAATTTTTGATTACAAGAGGTAGAACCGATTTCGAATTGTTAATACCGAATCTTAATCAATTCCGTTGTGACGAATTATCGAATATCGGATATCGTTGGTAGGTTGGTTGGTTGGTTTCGGGCACTATACGAAAACGTGAACCGTTATACGATCTCAAAATACATGAGGCCTGACATTTGTATGACCACAATTTTGGCAATCTTCCCTTCATGAGTAAGATTAGGTATCACAGACTTACATAACAAAATCGTCTTACAACTCGGTATTTTGATGATTTTAGCCACATTTTCCAATGGAATTGTATGAATTTCCGCACAAGGAGTTCCTTCTAAATACTTTACCCCCTGGAAGAGAATTGTCTGGTCCACGATATCGTCCCCCATATACCCCTCGCTATTCTGTATTTTGAGGATTTTAGCTGCATTTTTGACCGGAATTGTTTCAAATTTAGTATTTGAAGTTTGAAGCTCGTAATGAGTACTACAACCTATGCCAGAAATTTGTTTCGCAGGTCGCGTCTTCTTATAACATATAACGGTACCTCGCTTTATTCGGTATTTTGATGATATTGGCAACATTATTCACCGGAATAGTTTCAAATTTGATGATATTAGCGACATTATCCAACATAATTGTTTTTAATTTTTTTTTTTAAATTTAAAGTTCGGAATCGATGCTACAAAAAAAACTTATGCAAGTCCACGTCTTAGTATATCCCACATATAACGGTTTTCATTAAAGTGATATTTTTCGACGGTTTTTTTAATTATTTAAGACCCTTCGAAATGGTGGAGGGTATTAAAATTTCGGACCGACCGAATTTAGCTGATTTTTTACTTGTTAAACCTTAAATTTATATTTCGATGAGTTAAAAATAGAATAACCAACTTAAAATACCCTCCGTACAATGCATAAGGGAGGGCATAGAAATGTCGTTAAAAATTGGTTCAAATCATCAAAGAATCAATTCTTGCCAGATATCATTATATATGGGTTATATAAAAACCTAGACCTATGTCAATTCACTACAATAACTTCAACTTAAAAATTCAACAAATTAACTTAAAAAATTTCGCTAAAGTCATCAATCAAATCATAGTGTCATAGCTTGGACCTTTTTTCATTGCAGCGATAGTTTCTGCTCGCTGGTGGTGTTTAACAAATTCGTAGGAAACATTTGTTTAAAACTCCAAAAATATATTAAATCGCTTAGTCCCTTTTTATGGAGCTATACCAAATCGTGGACTAAAAAGCACCATTTCCAATACCAAACCAGTCAAAAAGTCATAAAGTTGGGCGAGGCCGACTTTATGATACCCTACAAAACTTTGCTAATTTAGTAGAGCTCCACATAACAATTAAAAGTTTTTATGCGAGAATTCGATCATACACGCAATGATTATAAATATAAGTTAAAGTTCAAAGGACTAAATATAAATATATTACGGCTGTTGGTAACAAATACACCAAATCGGATTAACAATATATATGGGAGCTATAGCTATATCTGAACCGATCTTCACCAAATTTGGTATACTAGCTTCTAGACTCAATTCGGTCGTATGTACCAAATTCCATCCCATTTGGACAAATATTAGCCGTTTGGTGCACAATAAAAGGTAAATCGGACGAAGCTATATATGGAAGCTATATCCAAATCTGAACCGATCTCGATAAAAAGCAATTTCTGAGCTGCATTTGATATATTTCCCCAAATATTGTTGTTACAGAGTGCATATTACGGCTGCGGAGGACAAAACTAACAAATCGGATGAACAATATAAGCTATAGCTAAATCTGAACCGATTTCGATCCAATTTGGCATACTTATTTTCAGGCCTGATTTGGTTGTATGTGCAAAATTCCATACTATTCGGGCTGATATTACACGTTTGGTGCACAATAAAAGGCAAATCGGACGAAGATATATATGGGAGCTATATCCACATTTTTACCGATTATCTCCAATTACAATAGGAATCGTCTTGTGCAAAATTTCACCTGGATCGGACAATAAATTCGAACTGGACTTTGTTTACAAAAATACATGGACAGACGGACGGACATTCATAAATCAACTCAGAATGTGATTCTATGCAGATCATCAAAAGGAACTATGGGTCTATCTCGTTTCCTTTTGCCTGTATCAAACAAATGCACCAAGACATAATACCCTGACCACCTTGTGGTGTAGGGTATAAAAACTGTGGCCAAAAATATATATACATTTTTCGAGGAATTATCAATGGAATAATTAACTCAACATACTTTTGATAATACGGCGAGGGTAAAAAAAATGTCGATTTTTTCTG